AGAGACGGGGTTTCACCATGTTGACCAGGATGGTCTCGATCTCTTGACCTCGTGATCCACCCGCCTCGGCCTCCCACAGTGCTGGGATTACAGGCTTGAGCCACCGCGCCCGGCCAGCCTAAGGTTAATTCTTAATTCTATGTCCTTTATTCTCTATCACAGAAAGACAAATACAGAATTTACATATCTTCTTCTTTGGGAAATTGGGAAAAATCTCTGAAATACATTTCCCTTTGGAAATTTATTTCCATGGCTTTAAATGAGGATGATTCTCAAATCAGTTTCTCCCTGGCCTTTCTTTAAGCTTTAGTTGTACTAGGTATCTTCCATTTGCCCCTCCAGATTTATTCTCCACCCTTCTTTACCTTGCTCTCAATCCCTGAAGACTGACTTCATCAACAGGACTCCCATGGCTTCAGATTGGGTTTGGTCAATGGAGTACCTTAGCAGGATATCAGAGGGAAGACGCATTGCCCTCCAGCTAGCTGTCTCCTTTGATCAAAGGTTCCAGATTCTCCCAGGGTGACTCCCTGGTTCAGGGCTCTATTCTTCAGGATTCTGGTAACCTTTCCTTCCCCTTGGCCCTTGAGCCAAATGACAGAAACAGCTGTTATTGCTAGGTCTGCATCCTTCAACTCATGAAGTACTGCCCTGTCTCTCTCTCTTTTTTATTTTTTAAAGACAGGGTCTCACCATGTTGGTCAGGTTGGTCTTGAACTCCCGACCTCAGGTGATCCGCCCGCGTTGGCCTCCAAAGTGCTTGGATTACAGGCGTGAGCCACCACGCCCGGCCTGTACTGCCCTGTCTCTTATGGTTACCTTATATTTGCTCACATGCTTGTAACTAAACCTTTATTAAAACATTCCTTAAACTACTCTAATTTGAGCATGCCATCTCTTTTGTGATGGGGCCTTGACTACATATTTGTGCATCATTTTTTGTTTGTTTGTATTTGAGATAGAGTCTCTGTCGTCCAGGCTGGAGTGCAGTGGCATGATCTCAGCTCACTGCAACCTCCACCTCCAGGCTCAAGCAATTCTCCTGCCTCAGCCTCCCAAGTAGCTGTACCACCACACCCAGCTAATTTTTGTATTTTTAGTAGAGACAGGGTTTCACCATGTTGGCCAGGCTGCTCTTGAACTTCTGACTTCAAGTGATCCACCTGCCTCGGCCTCCCAAAGTGCTGGGATTACAGGTGTGAGCCACTGCACCGGGTCAAATTTGTGCATCTTTAAATATCTAAATATTCATCCATAGATGTTCTGCTTCAACTCAAAATCTTCAAGACTATTAACAAACTTATCTGCTTCACACAAAATCTTGCCTTCCTCAAATCATATGTGCTACTATCACCATCCCTCAGGGTCAAAAAGCAGAATAATATTTTACCTAACTATGCCTCTCCCCCTTATCTGTCATATAAGATCCTATTAGATGTTATATAGTAGTATGGTTTATCTAAGCCCTTTCTGTTCTTGTTGCTACTACCTAGTTTTAATATTTTTCAAGGCATCCTTCAACTCATACTACAACAGCTAGTCTTCCTGTCTCATCTTTCCCCCTATAATTAATCCTATATCCAACTGAAATACTAACTCCACAACTAAATTCCCCCTGAAAAGAAACATGCTGAAAACAGTACCTTGCACATTACAAATGTAGATATAATCTGCTCTCACAAACTAAAGTGGAAAGTTAAGAGGATAAATATAGTAACAAGTATTTGTTAAGATGAAAGATGAAGAAGCAAATCCTAAATAGCTCAGTCTTCTTAGTCCAGTCTATCGCCCAGGCTGGAGTGCAGTGGCACAATCTCAGCTCACTGCAACCTCCGCCTCCAGGGTTCAAGCAATCTCCTGCCTCAGTCTCCTGAGAAGCTGGCATTACAAGCGTGCAGCACCATGCCCAGCTAAGTTTTTGTAATTTTAGTAGAGCTGGAGTTTCACTATATTGGTCAGGCTGGTCTCAAACTCCTGACCTCGTGATCCGACCACCAGGCCTCCCTGTGCGGGGATTACAGGCAGGGTGAGCCACCCAAACCCGACCTAGTCCAGTCTTAAAAGATTTCTGTCAACACACATTTATTATTGAGTTCATTGGTATAAACGTGGTGCTTGTTAAATGGTAATTTGTAACAACCTTTTAAATTTATATATAATTCTTAAACGTGAACATAAAAACTGTACTTTCTCCTATAGGGAATCCAAAAAACTCCTTTCCTCCCCTCACTCATCATACAAGTCTATCCAGCAGGCCCCTAGAACTGATGGAGGCTGCAGCCACTGAGGAAGATACTTATACTTGCCAGTGTCAAGACCACCCTTCCCCTATATTTCATCACTCTTTCTCAAATGCTCTTTATAATTACTAATCTGCAACTGTTATCACAAGCAACTTACTAAAGTTTTAGATGAATATGCCTATTTCTAAAGTTTCAAAATATATTTGGTTTTTCCTACACAATTTAAGAAAGCGTAAGAATTACACATAAGCTCTGTGAGGGGAACGTAGACTGTTAAGTCTACAAAGAGGAGAAACAAACAGCCCATAATTACTACTAACAAAATGAGAAGTTCTTTTCTCTACAAAATAATAAAGATGGCTAAATGCAAATCATTATATGATTTTAGTACTCGAAGCCAGATG